CACTTACAAGGGGCAGCTGGGCAATTGGGTGTTTTGCGATCTGCACAAGAGCAAGGACGTGTACAGATGCATGTGGCAGCTGCCGGCGTTGGCGTGGCATGGTGGGGAGCACGCTGGAGAGGGTTCTGCATCCCAGGGGGAATGCAACGCCGTTAGAGGATTTGGTGTGAAAGTATCTGCCAGATCTGAGGAGACGGATTGGGCAATGGCACACCGTCGCTTGGGGCATGTAGCAATGCCTTTGCTGAAGCAGCTGGAGAGGGATGGGTCCGTCAAGGGTCTGAAGCTGAACGGCCAGCCACCTGATGACAAATGTGAAATCTGCTTGCTATCCAAATTCACCTGTTTCCCCTTTGGAGCAAGAAGCCTTTGGAGCTGGTTCACATAGACTTGATGGGGCCGCTGCCAGTGCAAGGGCACAAGGGGGAGCGGTATCCTCAAGTGGGCGTATCCTCTTAAACAAGAGGACCACGCCGCGTTCACGATACAGGGAGATTGGCTGCCATTCGTGGAGAAGCAAGCGGAGTGTGTGGTGGAACGGATTAGGACAGATCGAGGTGGTGAGTTTCTTGGAGCTGAGATGACGGCCTGGCTCAAGAAGCAAGGCATCCATAGGAATCTCACCACGGCTTACACCTCACAGTCTAACGGTGTAGCTGAACGGGCGAACCGGACAATTCCGGAGACAGCTAGGGCGCTGCTCCTAGAATCTGGGCTGGGCAACTTGATGTGGCCCCATGCTGTTCGGCACGCTACCATCGCTAGGAACAGGGTGCTCACCAAGGTTTGGGATGACTCGTGGGTGCCGTTGGAGAGGTGGCTTGGGAGGAAGCTCTCAGAATCCCAACCACTAGACCATTGGGATAAAAGGGCTTGTTTCAGTAGCGGGTCAGTGCGCCCATAACCCCCCAGGCAAATGTGCCTGTAACCCTTCCCTAGGATCGATCGGGGATCACCAGTGGACCTCTGACAGAAGCCGCCAGTGGACATGCGTGTTCGGTTGCATGGAAGTCGCCCACCTCCCCAAGACCTACCGCAGTAAGTTGGGGGCGAGTGCAATCTGGTGTGTGCATTTGGGGCTGGCTGCTGAGAGCAAGGGATAGCTGCTGAAGGAACCATCCAAGGGTGTGTTGTTTGACAGCACGGATGTGAATTTTGTTGAGGGCATGATGTATGGGAGTTGGGAGAAACAGTCGTAGGCAAGGGTGTCCTAGCAGATCCAGCAGATCACCATGTTGGGTGCAAATTCACATTGCACGACATCCTGCCGTCTGTTTGTATGAGTATGCATGTGCGAATGCATTTGGGTGTGAATGGAATGTTCGTGTGTTTGTTTGCTTTCGCAATTTTTGCTTGAAGCATTTGCAGGTACTCACGCATTGTGCGCTTCGGCATAAAATTGTACGAGCTATGAACAGTACAAGCAGAAAGGACGAGCTCGCAAAGGAACCCAAGATGGAAGCTTTGCGGTTCAGATTCAGTTCTATCCAACTCGAAATTGTACTATTTTGCTTGGTTGACTATAGTGTAGCAGGGCAGGCACTATAGGGGTACAATTTAGGTGAAGGTTGGATGTTGTTTGTCTGTATCTGCATGCTACAGGGCCAGGGGAAACCAGCGGAACCAGCATTTGGCTGGTTGGGCAAAGACAAAAGAGGTTCTGTTTTTAGGACCTGAACCTGGTTGTTGCTTTCCCAGGTTGGAAAAACAGAACCAGAGGTTGTTTACCAACCTACCACCTGCTGTTTTGTCCAGCCAGGTTGGTTCTGTTGCTTGGAATTATTTGGGATCATCCTCGGCTGTTCCCAGGTTTATTTGGGACTATTTATTCTTTCTCTGTTTGTACCAGGACGTAGTGAAATTGATTCAAGCGAATTCCTTCCCTTCTGGAATTTCCTTTCTACTCGGTGCGACGGCGGAATGCTACCCGAGTCAACGCTAGTACGCTAGCACTCCAACGCCAGGCAAACGCTGTCCGAGCCATAACTTCGTAATGGCAGAACTTTTCGCGAGGCAACTTGGTTCATTTTAAAGCTCTTGGAGCGAGGTAGGATATAGGAAATTCTCGGCTTAATCCGGTCGACGGTCTGCACGATACGCTGCGCGACGTTCAAGGTACTCTTGTTATTTTGACTAAGTCATTTTTTATCCTTCTCTCTACAAACTCGGACCCAAGGATAGGGGCTGGTCTTGTACCAGGCACCCAAGGACCCTTGGAGGTGACCCCGAGGAGAGGTTTTAAGTTTGATAAAGTCTTAATAGCTTGAGTTTATTAGGCCCTTACACCAACAAGCTGGTTTCAGAGCTGCGTTAGGCCCTTACACCAACACTCCATGCAGCTGGACCTGACTCCTAGTGTGTGGGAGGAGGCAGAGGAGGCAGCTGCAGAGAGTGGTGATGGATAGAAAATACAGGAGGCACCTGCTGGTGGAGAAAATGATGCGGAGACTAGTGGTAGCATTAGGGAGGAGAGCAGCAGCAGGGGAAAACTAAGAAGCCAAAGGGTGTCATTATGAGGGGATGGGAGACACCCATCTACAGGCCAGGACGTACCCGTATGGCTACTAAGAAGCTGACTGCAGGATCAGGTGTAGCAGAGCAGCAGCTTAGGACCGGGGAGGCATTGCTGATTCTGCCGCATGGCTATGACCCGGACGAGGAGGATGAACCTGCCTACTGTTTTCTTGCCCCTGCATTAGAGGAACCAGCTAGCATGTAGGAGGCATTAGCTGGACTAGATAGGGAGAAGTGGCTGGTTTCTAGGGATGCTGAGTACCAAAGCCTGCTAGAGAATGGGACATGGGATCTGGTGGTGCTGCCTGAGGGGAAGAAAGCCGTACAGTGCAAGTGGGTGCTAAGGATCAAGACCGTTAACAAGGAACAGGTCACCGTCTACAAGAGTAGGCTGGTGCCTAAAGGGTTTATGCAGAAGGAGAAGCAGGACTTCAATGAGATTTTTGCTCCCATTGCCAAACGCCCTATCCTCCGTGTCTTATTGGCAGATGCAATCGTTAGTGGGAAATTCATTACTCATATGGATGTATCAACGGAATTTCTCAATGGGATTTTAGTGGACGATTGGTATATGACACAGCCGCCTGGGTATGGAAATGGTAGGGGTAGGGTATGCAAGCTGAAAAATTCCATCTACGGCTTGAAGTAGGCGCCACGCTGCTGGTACCAGAAGTTGGCAGCTGTTTTAGAGAAGATGGGATTCAGGACCAGCAGATGTGATGAGAGTCTCTTTCTCAAGGGGGAGGGGGAGAAGCTGGTGCTATTTCTGGTTTACGTGGACGGCATTCTTCTTTTTAGCAGCAGCATGACGGGGATCCAGAATGTGCAGCAGCAGCTGATGGTGAACTTCAACTGCAAGAATCTTGGGCAGGTAAAGTACTACTTCAAAATGCACGTGGAGAGGGATTCAAATCACACGTAGTTGAAGTTGCACCAGGAGAAGTTCATCAAGGAGCTGGGGGAGAAGTGTTGAACAAGGAATGAAATGACTAAGAATGAAATGAGTACAAATATGGAAACCTAGAAGTGTGTACCCCCTATAGGCTAACCCACTGTAGCCTAAACAACTACAACAATATATAATGTTTGACACACCCCCATAGGCGAAGTGGGGGAGAACTAGGGGTCACAAGACCAGTCAAGTAAAGCAAAGCAAAGCAAATCAAGCTCAGGGTGGATCACAATGTCACCACACAATCCGAGCACAAGTTCAAGGCCATAAGGCCAGTTCACATGCAGGAGTACATATATATATATAAGACTAAACAAGCAAGAGCAGTGATATATATATATGTAACAGTACAAAGAGGGTCAAGAGTGTCAGAATCCCAACCACTAGACCATTGGGATAAAAGGGCTTGTTTAAGTAGCGGGTCAGTGCGCCCATAATCCCCCAGGCAACCGTGCCTGTAACCCTTCCCTAGGATCAATCGGGGATCACCAATGGACCTCTAACACCCCCCCGCACTGGGATGCCCGAAGTGCATACACCGGGATTCGAACCTGAGACCTTCGCTCTGATACCATGTCAGAATCCCAACCACTAGACCATTGGGATAAAAGGGCTTGTTAAGTAGCGGGTCAGAGCGCCCATAACCCCCCAGGCCAACATGCCTGTAACCCTTCCCTAGGATCAATCGGGGATCACCAGTGGACCTCTAACAAAGAGGAGAGCAAGTGAGGCAAGACAGACACAAGACCCAGCTGGGTACAGCAGCGCTGATGATCACAAGGCGAAAGTGCCTTGGTGAAAACATCAGCAGTGTTGGCCTCAGAGGCCACGTACGCAAGTCGCAACTGACCACGCTGCTGTAGCTCACGAGCAAGGAAGTAGCGGAGAGCAATGTGCTTTGTTCTATGCTCCAGTCTCTGCTCTCGACACAAGGCCAGCATGGCCTTGTTGTCGACGTACAGGACTGGAGGAGAACGAGGCGGCTCTCCAAGGTCGGTCAACAGGTAGGTGAGCCAGCGAAGCTCCTGAGCAGCCATGGCCCCTGCGTAGATCTCAGCCTCACAACTGGAGCCGAGAACAGAAGACGAGCGAGTAGCCCGCCACGAAACAGAGCCGGAACCAAGGCTGAAGGTGTAACCCTGTGACGACCGCTGCGTAGCTTGGTCGTCAGCCCAAGAAGCGTCTGCGTGACCAGTGAGGACCACTGGACTCCGCCCTCCAAGCACTAGTCCCATGCCTGACGTATTGCACAAGTAGCGCAACACCCTCTTCGCTGCAGCCATGTGCTCTGGTCGGTGTCTCCCAGGAGCAACATAGCGCGCAAGAATGCTAAGAGGGTATGCAAGGTCAGGTCGTGTGCAGGTCATCAGGTACATGAGACAGCCAACAAGCTCTGGGTACGGGCCACTCGACTCTACGGACTCATCCGAAGGCAGAGCTGAGAGCGAGTGGCGAGTAGACAGAGGAGTGGCCTGAGGCGAGGAGTACGTGAAGCCGAAGCGCTGAAGGACCTGCTGCACCATGTGTGACTGAGTCAGGGTAATGGTGCGGCGTGCTCTGTCTCGGGTGATCTGCAAGCCAAGGTAGCTGCGCAGTTCACCCAGGTCAGTGCACGTGTGTCTCTTCTGCAGCTCGGACTTCACGTAGGCGAGTCCAGTAGTGTCAGCAGTGGAAAAGACCAAGTCGTCGACGTACACGAGGATGTAGAACGGCGGCAGAGAAGTGTCAGTGCGCAGAAACAGCGACGGGTCGGCAGTAGAAGGAGCAAACCCAAGTGCCGCCAGCGTAGTCCTCAGTGTGTCGTGCCACTCACGCGGCGCCTGGCGAAGACCGTAGACTGGACGCCGGAGACTCCACTGGGTACCAGGAGGGAAAGACCCAGTGAAGCCAGGTGGGCGACGCAGCCAGATCTCCTCGTCCAGGCTGCCCTGCAAGAAAGCTGTGCTGAAGTCGAGAGAGTGAAGCTCGTAGTCCCGGTGAGCAGCAACGTGCAGCAGTACCCGAAGAGTGGTCATCTTCGGGGTGGGGGAGAAGGTCTGAAAGTAGTCAACTCCCTGCCGCTGTTTGAAGCCACGAGCCACGTAACGCGCCTTGAAGACAGGCGGAGAACCCGGCGGCCGCTTCACCCTGAAGATCCACATGCCACTGACCATGTTCGCCCCAGGAGGGGGGACAGCGTCAACGTAGGTGCCTGTGGACTTCCAGGAAGCCATCTCTGCATCCATAGCTGCCTGCCACTGAGAGGAGTAGGGACCCTCTATCGCCTCCGCGTAAGAGCGCGGAGTCGGGATGTCTAGTGCATCCGGGTCTCCCGTAGGGGCTAGCAGTACAGACGCGAGATGAGGTGAAGCGGCAGCCAAGCACTGGAACTCCTCCTGCCTGTCCTCAAGGACGTCCGTGCCAAGGGCAAACGCACCCCTGACGGACGGAGGACGGACAGACTCAGACTCAGCGACAAGACTAGCAGCGTAGTCTAGACGACAGCACGCAGCAAAGTCGACGAGCTCAGTGACAAGGGCAGACGCAGCAGAAGACTCGAGAGAAGGGTCAGTGACAGCAGTAGCAAGGAGACGCGTGATAGTAGGACCGGCAGCACGAAGAGAGTCCGACGCAGGGTCGGCAAGAGCAGGAAGAGAGGAAGCAGGAGGAGAAGGCAAAGGGGCACGCAGAGGAGCAGTGGAAGGACGCAGAGACATCCGGTGCGTGCCACCGGGAGGAGGAGGACGCGGAAGCGAACTACGAGCACTAGTGCTAGCAGGACGGAGAGGCGACCCAGGGCGAGACGCAGGCTCACGACGCTCAGTAAGACCGTCAGTAGGACCAGAGTAAGGAGGAGCAGGCAGTGACTGAATAGGCTGTGGACACACTAAAGGAGGGGGAGGACCAGGAGGAGGCGAGAGACCAAGAACCTGCTGAAGGAGCGGAACGAAGTACGGCTGAGGGCGCGCGGCGACTCCAGACACAGCAGGGACAGTACCAGTGCCCCTAGCGGCAGTACCAACGCCCTAGTCCGCAGCACCAGCAGGGACTCCAACACCAGGGTCCTCAGCACCAGTCGCAGCTCCAACGCCCGGGTCCTCAGCACCAGCCGCAGCTCCAACACCCGGGTCCGCAACACCAGCAGCAGCTCCAACGCCCTGGTCCGCAGTACCAGCAGCAGCTCCAACGCCCGGGTCCGCAGCACCAGCAGCAGCTCCAACGCCCGGGTCCGCAGTACCAGCAGCAACTCCAACGCCCGGGTCCTCAGCACCAGCAGCAGCTCCCACGCCCGGGTCCGCAGCACCAGCAGCAGCTCCAACGCCCGGGTCCGCAGCACCAGCAGCAGCAGGGTCCGTGAGACGAGGCGCGCCACTACGAAGTGTGCAACGGCGCTCGTACCACTCACGGATCCGCTCACGAGAGGGGAGCTCCCGACTAGAGGGAGAAGTACCAGCACCAGTCTCCGTAGCACGCCTGGTCCCAGAGGTACCTCTCCGGAGGCTGCAGTACTGTAAGTACCACTCACGCAACTGCTCCAAGGAGAGGTCTCGTCCAGGCGTAGGACCCCCTGGCGCAGTACCGCCAGGCTCAGCACCCCCAGTCACCGCACCCCCAGGCTCAGCACCCCCAGGCTCAGCACCCCCAGTGTCCGCACCCCCAGGCTCAGCACCCCCAGTCACCGCACCCCCAGGCTCAGCACCCCCAGAGTCCGCACCCCCAGTCTCAGCACCCCCAGCGTCCGCACCCCCAGGCTCAGCACCCCCAGCAGGACGAGAGTCGACAGCAACCTCAACAGGCTCGACCGGGTCTACCTGAGACACACCTGAGGGAGCGGCACCCTGAGGGGGGAGGGGGTCTACGACAGCAGCACCTGGCGCGAGGAAGAGAGGCGGGGGTGGGAGCGGGGCAGTGCGGTAGGGGAAGAGGCGGTAGTAGGGGACAGACTCGTCAAAAGTGACGTCCTGAGAGGGCAAGACCCGGCGCGAGTTGGCGTGGTAAAACTGCCAACCAGGCGCGTCCGGAACAAAGCCGAGGAAGACGCAGGGAACAGCACGAGAGGAGAGCTTGTCCGCAGACGAATCGCGAACAAAAGCTCGAGATCCCCAGACCCGGAAACGCGACGCATCGCTAACCTCCCCCGTCCACAGCAGTGTGGGCGAGGTCTCCGGCAAGGAGACACGGGGCCAAAGGTTGAGCTGATGCGCAGCGTACCGGACCGCAAAGGGCCACAGAAAATGAGGGGCAGCCGCATGGATCAAGGAGGTACGAGCGACCTCCATAACCAGGCCAATGCGGCGCTCCGCAACCCCATTCTGCTGTGGAGAGGCCGGAAGCGTGAACGACTGCTCAATGCCGTGCTCAGCACAGTAGGCTGCCAAGAGGTCGGAGGAGAACTCACCACCTCTGTCAGAGTGCAAGCGCAGGACAGGAAAGTCCGAGCGGAAACGCTCGCTGAGCTGGAGACGAGCTCTGCGGATCCAAGGGATCAAAACATTAGGGACCTCACCCTTGGTGCGCAAGGGGAAGACCGTGGTGTAGCGCGAGTAGTCGTCAACAACGATCAGGAAGTACCTCTCCTGACCCTGACCACGGACGCGGGCTGGGCCCCACACGTCCATGTGGAGCGTCTGCAAAGGAGCAGTCGTCGGGGGAAACGAGGAGGAGTGAGGAGCGGCGCGCTGCCGCCCCTCGACACAGGGAAGGTAGGGAGGAGCAGGCGAAGGTGGGAGAGGAGGGAGGACCCTGGGAAGACCAGAGACAAGGTACCGGGAGTGCATGGCACGAAGGCGCTGCACAGACGGGTGGCCAAGTCGGTGGTGCCAGAGGACAGTCTCGTGCGCTAGAGAGCGACACGAGCAGGGGGCAGACAGCTGACCTGACGCGGACGCAAACGCAGACGCAGACGCAGCGACCTGAGGGGACGCAGTAGTCAGTGTGTACAGGTCCGACCCCGGCTGCCGGGTGAAGGTAGCCAAGTGGCGGCCCGTACGAGCACACGTGCAGTGTGTCACACGCTCGTAGGCAGGGGTGAACTGGTGAGCACCCCCGTCCTGGAGTGCACATCCTGCCACCAAGTTCGTAGAGAACGAGGGGAGGTGGAGACCTGACAGTGTGCCAGACGGGACCGCAGGACAGGGAAGGACAGTGGAGGAGGTCGCAATGACCGGACCCCCAGAGGGGTCAGCAAGGGAGACAGCAACTGGCCGAGCAAGGGGCTCAAGGGCAGTGCGATCACGAAAGAAACAGCGAGAGGCACCTGAATCCAGCGTGAAGGTGTGCAGTGCTGCAGTCGACACCGTACCAGGGGGGGCAGACACGCACGCACCTAGAGCAGCAGCCTCACCAGCACCTGGGGTAGCAGACACGTGGGTACCTGGAGCAGCAGACGCACTCGTCCTAATGCCCGGGTCGAGCGGGACACTCAGGTACTCAGAACCCTCTCCACTAGTAGACATCACATACATGGCAGAGAGAATAGCATCAAAGTCTAGAGCATAGATATCAATCCCCTTCTTCAGGAGATCAAGCCAGCGGGGCAGCTCAGTGGCCTGAGGGAACTGAACACGCCAAGCGTCGCTCAGACGAGCGAAGCAACGCTGTGTGGCGTGCGGTCCCCCACACGGCTGGCCAGTGCGGTCACCAGTGCGAATGACGTTCGTGCAGCTAAGGCCACCCCCCCCCCCCCCGTGCTGAGAGTACCACTCACGGACCTCCTGGGGCGAGGGAGTGTGCTGCTGTCCCTGGCCACCGCCAGTGCCGCCACGCCCACCACTCCCACCACCACCTCCTCGACCACCCCAACCCCTGCCGCCGCCTCGTCCACCGCCACCCCCACTACCTCCTCCGCCCCGGCCACCTCCCCCGCCGCTGCCGCCACCCCCACCACCGCTGCCCCCTCCCCCACCCGCGCCACTCCCCCCGCCACCACCTCCCCCACCACCGCCACCCCCGCCGTCACCACCACCGCCCTTGCCCCCCTTGCCCTTGCCGCTGCGGCGTCCGCTCGAAGCAGACGCAGTCCCGACCTTCTCAGCACCAAGGAGGTCGACAGCAGCAGCAGAGGCGACAGAGGGAAGAAGGGGGGAGGGAGAACACCCCTCAAAGAACGGGGTGCGGGGGTCACCGCGAGAGGCACCTACAGCGACTATGCTAGTCTCGGCTGCAAGGAGTTCCTTCTCGAGGAGGGCAATGGTGAGCTCGGTGGGGCAGCGAGCGAGGAAGTGGTCCCTGACTGAGCGCAGCGAGTCAGGGAGGCGCGTGACTAGGTGGTAGAGAGTAATCCAGAGCGGGGGTGGGTTCGTGGCGAGGAACTCATCAGGCATAGCGGCGCGGAAGCGAGCCTCACTAGTGCGGAGGTGGGTAATGAGGTCAGCGACAGTGTGAAAGGAAGCTAAGTCGGGGAACAGGTAGGGAAGAGAGAGACGGCCTAGAGCAGCAGAGGCCGGTGAGGAGTAGCGGGCAACGACAGCAGTGTACAGTGCCTGTGCAGTCTTGTGCTGCCCAAAGTGCTCGCGCTCATCTATCGGCAGAGAGTTGCGGATAGCGAAGCGAGCATGGGCGTCACGAGTCTGCCACTGTGAGTGAGCAGTGCTGTCGGCAGTAGCAGCAGGAGCAGTAGCATGGCCTAGGGCATGATCGTACAGCGAGATGTCTTCCTTGGCAGTGAGCTGTAGGAAGAGGTGGAGGTCATCAAGCCAGGTGTCGAACTTCACTGGGCGGCCCTCAGCATCGAAGGCTAGCACCGGAGGGCTAGCCATGGTAGCAGCAGTAGTGAAAGCAGTAGGAGCAGTAGGTAGGTAGGGCGGCGCGGCTCGGTACAGGTAGGGCGGCGCGGCTCGGTATAGGTAGGGTGTTGCGGCTCGGGTCGGGCGGCGCGGCTCGGTTCGGGCGGCTCGGGTCGGGCGGCGCGGCTCGGGTTGGGCGGCTCGGTTCGGGCGGCTCGGTTCCGTTAGGGCCGGGCTGTTCGGTGCGGGCGGCGCGGTCTAGGTGGGGCCGTTCGAAGCGGCTAAGGGTGAGCGCGGGGAGCGGGTGGGGTTGGGGACGGGGCCGACGCGGGCCGAAAGGGGTAGGATCGGGGCCTACGCGGGCCGAAAAGGGTAGGTACGGGGCTGACGCGGGCTGTTAGGGGTAGAGACGGGGCCGACGCGGGCTGTTAGGGGTAGGGACGGGGCCGACGCGGGCCTCTAGGGGTAGGTATGGGGGCCGACGCGGGCCTCTAGGGGTAGGATCGGGGCCGTCGCGGGCCTCTAGGGGTAGGGACGGGGCCGTCGCGGGCCTCTAGGGGTAAGGACGGGGCCGTCGCGGGCCTCTAGGGGTAGGCTCGGGGCCGATGCGGGCCTCTAGGGTAGGCGCGGGGCCGACGCGGGCCTCTAGGGGACGAGCTCGAGGCCGACGCGGGCCGTTAGGGTTAGGCGCGGGGGCGATTCGGGGCCTCTAGGTGCAACAGCGCGGGGCCTACAGGGCCTCTAGAGGCGTGAACGTCGAGGCGCCCTAGGGCAGGTAGGCAGATAGGCAGGTAGGTAGTGGTGGGCCCTTAGGAAAAACGGTCCTAGGAAGGACCTGCTCTATACCATGTTGAACAAGGAATGAAATGACTAAGAATGAAATGAGTACAAATATGGAAACCTAGAAGTGTGTACCCCCTATAGGCTAACCCACTGTAGCCTAAACAACTACAACAATATATAATGTTTGACAAGAAGTATGGGATCGAGAA